GCTCTTCTGGTGGCCATTTCCTCGTTCACTATCAAGTCCATGGTTAGTAAGCTTCAAATTCCTTGTCGCAACTTAGAACCAGAGCAAATAACGCGCTCCATTCACGCGCCCCTCGTACCGTAGCTGTTTTCGCTGTGGGAGCGCTGGCCTGCCGCGCGATGTCGCATTGCGAAGCGCGAAAATGTCGCTTTCTGATGTGTTTGAAACCTTCCGAAATAACGCGCCCTGATGTTAATAATCGTGATGCGACAGTGCGCTGGGGCGAATTTTTCCGCCTGGTTCGCTTTCCGCTTGGTTTTTTTGTATGGTGCTTTGTTGCCCATTTTCGTTAACACCGTCTTAAAATACCAAGATCGTTGTTATAATCCACATTCTTAGTATTCATGGCACTTTCGGAACCAAAGGCTAAGCGGCCATGTCCAGTCCATACAAAGGTATTTTATTTTCGTTTGTTTGCTTTATACCTTTTACGCACGCCTCTCTGTCTTTCAGGGGCTCCTCGATGAAGAGGAAGAGGATCGCCTTGCTAAGAAGCTACTTGGTGATATCCATGAAAGATTGGAGCAGTCATCCTCAGACGACGACGATGATACATGTATAGAAGAGGTCGGACTTTTTTCTTTGCCCACAGATGCAGTGTGTATAATTACAGAGAGGCGCTTTAATGAGTGTGATCAGTCATGAAAAACTTCTTTCTTGCCTTAGATATGTCGTGCTGCAAGTTTTAAGAGCCAGAGATTTTTCGTGGAAGGTGGCCCAATTTCCATTGAAACTGGATTTGCTCTTTTTTCAAGGAGATTTAGTAATGTGTATTCGCATGGAATACCGTGGAAAAAATGACCGATCCCAGTCTAGGGTTGGGTACATGTCCAGGGTCAAGCATAGGGTTGTTATGAAATACAAGGAATAGTCCGATTCATCAGCCTATACCTTCTAATTCTGACTACATCCGGATATCGTCTCGCTTCTTTTCCGTTGCGCAACAAGCTGAACATTCCTTTTGTTTTCCTGAATTATGTTCCTAGTTGGTGACAATTTTGTTTCTTTTCACTGGGCTCAAAGTAAGAAGTAAGGAAATCATATCGAACCTGATATTCGAGGAGGCTAAGTTCATCATGGTCAAGTATAGCTAGCACTTTTCCTTAGATGTCGGTCAGACTCTGCGATTGCATCGCGCGATGCAATCGCTCTGCCAAAAGTGCAAGCGGCGGGCAATGGCCCGCCGCGATCGATACCGATGTCGACTGCATCGATGTGGGCGGGGCCAATCGCCCGTCGCTTGTGCACATTGCAAGAGCGACTGCATCGCGCGATGCAATCGCTCTAGGCAGGCTGGTTTATGAAAGCGCCACAGGGCAGCAGTATTAAGTTGAGCAATAATTATCCCCCTTTCTCACTTCATAAGTTTACTATTAAAATGAATCAAAAACAACAATCAATTCGTAATCAACGAAGGCTCTCGAACAGTCCTATCTGCAACGATGCTCGGCTCAGGCTTCATTGGCTTTACAAGCAGATGCAGAAGCATCCCGTTTCGAAATCAGCTTGCACTCATAAGGAAGGGCAATCTTTTTTTTGCTAGTTTGTAAGCTCCATAGTGAAGTAAATACGCAAGTGATGCACATTAAAAAGTGCAAGAGATTGAGCGTCAGCTACATAATAACTTTGAAAATCAGCAAAAAATTAACGATGAGCCTGAAAAAAACCGACGGAATTATTTCTCAACCTAATACTTTAGGTGACCAAAATGATTTGCGAGCCATCGTATTTTGTGAGTCTGACAAAGTCACAATCTAGCATCCTTTGTCGTCTACAGCTGAGGTGCGCTTGAGGAAGGATTCATAACCTGACCCATAGTACACAGGCAATATCATCGCTTTATTTAAGGGGGGTCTTTCAATCAAAGGTAACTTGCTTTTCGAATGCCCGACTGTCATGGACAGCGAGACTCTGCACCATCTCTAATAAAGACAATGCTGCTACTTGCGTATTATCGACGACACTTGGGGGGGGGGTGTTACCCTCAAACGCCCCGTGTAACAACACATTGAAAGAGCTCCAATGTGTTGTTACACAGGGCGGTTTTTGGGTGCAGCATGGAAACGCCGTCGGTAGCTGTCTCTTTGAGGTTGATCTAAAGTTATCCAAAAGGTGACCGAGAAAACGATTCCGTTCTGTTATTGATGGGATGATAAAAAAGTACATCATCTAGTGTGATTTCCTGCCATACTCGTCTTGACCACTTATGTTTGCGCTTCTCAGCTGCAGAAGGAGGCCGACAGGTTTAACTATTAAGCTAGGTAGTTCGATGTCGAAATGCTCTCCTTGCTTATTCAAACCCGGCAGCATTCGACCGCCATCTGTTTCTTCTTTTTTAACATAATAATTTTCATGAGAAAAAATCCAATGATCACTTGGAATTTGAAAATGAATGTCTACCCTTTTTTGACTACCCGCTGCCGCCACAGTTCTGGTTCGTTAGGCATATGTTCTGGATCGTTACGGCGTACATACTTTGATTAAGATCTCATTCTATTACTCGTGAGAAAAATGTGCGCCTCTGTAATGAAGGCCAACTTTCGATTAAGACTTTCGTCAATCTAATATTCCATGAACAATCGCGTTGCGTTGGTTCTTGACGTTCGTTATAGCTCTTTTCTCCTCGGATGAACCCCCTGCTCTGCCTTAAGGAGTAATTAACGATAAGAGCGAGGGTCATAGAACAGAAAAGTTGCATAGTTAGGAGACAGGCGGACGTCCTGAGGGTGCTGACCAGCGCGCTGTTGGCAGCAAAAAATTCGACGTAGGTTCTGCCTTTAATGCACGCCCTTCGTTTTCTTCTTAGGAACATTTCATAAGTTCTCGAGAAAATAGCGTAGTAAGATATTTTTGATTGCGTTGACACATAGAGCTGTAATTTTAACAGTGTCAAGATTTTACTGTACAATTCTTTTCAAATGTGTCTCTTCAGGATCCGCGTGTGAGCTCGAGCTCAGTTTGGCGTGATGATGACGACGCTGCTGATCAGGTTCAAATTCTT